AAATAAAGTCTAATGTTACAACTAATCGGGGATCCCTTTAAGAACATGTATAACAGTTTTTCATGTTAAAACTTGAAACTTTGTAGTTTCAGTGCCTTCTGTATCTGAATATGGAAAAGTAAAGTTTTTCAGGTTACAGAGATTTAGATACAAATAAAAAACTCTTGAGAAGTGTCTCTTTATAAACCAGATTATACATTTTAAACTARTTTTAGAATATTTTAACACCTCAAAGCATAAACTGTGTGAAGCAGGTTTCATAAACAGACAACTGGACTTAAATTAGAATCAGCAGTAGGAAATGAAAACTGATATGCTGTGCAAATATAATCTGTGTACTTACTCTACAGAAAATCTGTAATTCCCTGTAGTAGCCTCTTATACGGGCTTTGCTTCCTCTGACTTTGATATTGCACAAACAAAAAAWWAARRWTTTTTTTTCAGTGCCTAATCAATCAACCAGCAGTTAGGTTAAAAATATGAGCCTGCTGAGCAATCTTTGCTTTCTTTATTACCTGTTTTGCTCAAGTCACAGGAAATCAAATGAACGCTTTTATTCAAACATCAATAGATTGAAGTTCATTTGGTAATGAACAAAAAATATTAACACGCAAAACCAAATAAACAGCAAACAACTGTGAAACATTGCACCACAAGAGAAAGAGGAAAGACCGTTACCTTGGTGACAGTAGCAGGCCTGATGGAAATGGGTGCTGCGGGGTCAACAGCTTCTAGTTTCATCCTTTCCTTGAAACAATGATCAGCAATGGCAGGCTGATCCTGAGAAACAACAAAAACAAACCTTGTGAGTAATTTCTTTAAAAGCTTAGCTCTCGTTTATTTGAACCTCCACAAGCTCTGTGCTCAGTGGAGGCCAGTCAAACTGTAACTGCTGGGTGGTGGAGGGGGGGACGCATTCAGAGAGGAACAAATAAAAATTAGTATTGAGATAACCTTAGTAAACTCTGCAGTCAGAGCTTCATCTTGAGGAAGGTCGCTTATCCTCTGTCTAACCTCCTCCCACTCCTCCTCAGTYCGCAGCGCCAACAGCTCTGAAGAAGATAAAAACACATAAATCAGCTGCTGGAGAGGAAAAAACCTGGCTTTCCAACAACTCTGCTATTGTTTGACTAGCAAGGGAATACTGTTACAGACAATAAACATGATGAAGTATTAAACAGAACTTATAAGCTAGAAAGAAATGTACATTTTTCACTCARTTTTAATGCTCACGTTAGGATTAAACTTTAACACTGGTATCATGTGGATCAGCACCACAGTGTGTTACAGCATTACAGTCTGTTAGTAGCTTCTGCAGTTTCCACACACAGGAAAAAGAAAGCTTGAGTAAAAACAGAGTATTAAATATCTATAAGGCCTCAGATGGTATAGAAGATAAATCAGCTGTGTCAGGATGTAGCTGCAGCCGTGAGTGCTTTTTACATTTTKCATATTAACAATATCGTATTTACAGATTTGCAGCACTAAAAATGATCAGAAYATTCATTTCAAGGTCTAGTGGGTCAAAGTCACTTTCTGAATGTTGRGCTCTTTGTATCGTGAAGAGTACACACGATAAGATATATTTTTGTGATGATGAATGATGATCAAACTTATTTTCGTTTAGAATACTACAAATGTCAATGTAAAAGATGATACAAACTATTARGCATACCACGTTCTGTAATAAACCCAGAAATATAATTTCCTTTCTAAAACTTGACCAGGTCAAGGCCGCTGACCTGACGGAGGCCTCAGGGTGCAGCCGTGCTCTTTAGCCCACCCTGGTGGGTGCAGGCGTGGGTGCAGATAAAAGAGCCAGAGTGTAGCGGGCGTGTCTGGGAGGCCCTCGGTGCCGAGCAYCCGCAGCTTCAGCCTTCCTCCGACGTTCTCTTCTACCTCGGCGGCCCAGGCCAGCACCGGGTCGGCGCTGTCCTGGAGCTCCACGTAGCATCCCGCACACAGAAGCTCCACCGGGTCTCCGCCACGCTGAAGGGTGGAGGGAGAGAGGCTGTAAGTGAGGCGGCTGCACGCTCGCTCACGCAAACACACGTGAACGCACGCCTCGGCTGTGAAAGGAATTTGTACTGGAGAGAATGCGAGTGCATGACTAAGTGACAGAACTGAAACACAGGGGCTGAAAGCCAACTAATAACATGAGAGAATTTCACAGGCTGTTCCTACAGTGAATTTGCTTTTAGCAGCAAAGCCTGGGAGGTGTAGACTGAAGCACAGAGAGCCTGGAATTTTACAGACGTCACTCATGACAGACGTCTTTCATGTGCAGGTCACGTGAAGTGACCTGCACATGAAAGATGACATTAAAGTAAATTTGATTTAGTTTGGGTGGAAACTTATCMAAACCTACTTTTATCATTTCAGTTTTGGGACTAGAAATTAGATAAAGACTAATAAAAACACAGACACACACAGTTTAAACAGAAAATTTGTGTAACTAGCTTCTGAACATAATCAGCTAAAATTCTCACKGTTAATGTTGTTTTATAAACTTAATAATGAGAATAAAGTGAACTTTTTTCTATGGGTTTAAGTTATATTCTCCATTTTAAGACAGACAGAAGCTCCACAACTGGGCCTTACCATCTCCAGCAGGCTGACTGGTGCGCTGCACTCCTCAGCCAAGGCCTTCTCCAGCAGAGCCTCCCAGTCTGCATGTTTCTCACGCACGCCTGAGGTGGATGATTCACAAACAGTTTAGTTTATTAACCAAAGAACCAAGTGGTCTTAAAGGATTTTTTCCCCTCGATCAACTGACACTTTAAAGTTAAGCCGCAAAATAAAAAACAAAAACAAACAAAAAATAACAAGTATTCACCAAACAGAATTGATTAGAGCAAGGGTCAAATTCAGACACAACAAACTTTCTCATGCAATGTCTTTAACTTTTTTAATAACACATATTAGAAGATTTTAAAAAGTGCTCGTTAGGTCAACATTTATTTGAAACCCACACAGAAAAATGTGCCTCAGCACATAAGAATTAAACTGTAAGAAACTTCAAGGTCACAAGGGAAACTCTAAAGATAACAAAGAGCAAACAGTGAGATCCACTCGCAGACTGCACATATAATTTGGATAAAATCGGTGTAATATGAATTTATGGACCAAATTACATATTTAATTAGTGAAGCACAGACTGCAATTTTCTGGCCGATCAACAGTCTTTAAAAAAGTCCGACCTGCCGATTCCAATTTTGGCCGATACCGACTGATACTATCAAGTGTAAGGTCTTATTTTATTGAAAAACACTCAACAATACCCTTGAAACAATACAATCTTGTTTTAACTGGACATCAGGTAGTGCTCACAACAGAGCAAAGGAGGACAGTGGTTGACTTTCAGACCTTTGTGGAGGTAGATGAAAAGCCGGTCTTTTCCACTGATCTTATTCAGGCTGATCTCCCAAAGTTAAGGAAATTGGTGCAGATAAATTGGCCTGTGCACCTCAATCTTTAACTTTTATTTTTTGTTACCAAAAATGACCAAATTCGGTAAAGAGGGTGGAAGTGAAGATGAATACTTACTGGACAGAAACAGTATTTATTAAGTATTATTGAGTTTAGTATGAAACTACTTTCAGAATGACAATCATCACAATGAWATGAAGAATGTGGTTTAATGACAACATGTACGGGAGAAATGAACTTAGTATTTCAGAAGAAGTGGTTGCTTAAGGCTGGTTATACATTTTAAGGCAATTCTTTATCTGCTTCAAATGACTGTGTAACAATGGGCTTATGCAATAACGTTTGTATTCTTATCCTAAATGTCTCTTACTTTTGTTCGTATGAAGGGTTCGTACAAACATGTCACGTCAGATTCAACCAACTCTTCTATCTTCAAGAAAAGTGCGTAAATGAGCTGCGTAAACTGATGAATGCATATCAGGTGCTCGCGCACGAGGAGAGGTGATTAGCATAATTACCACCCCAAAAACACCATATAAAAGGTAATGTTTCCTGCCCCAGATACCAGGAAGTGTTCATTCATAAATGACATTGCAAAGTAAAATAGAAGTACTTTACGAGTTCAGAGATTGAAGTCCTGCTCTCGAGATCCAGAAAAGAAAATCTGTCATTTTTAGCAGCGTCAGCTGTGGAATTAAAGGAGCTGCTAAAGCCGAGAGATCCCCGATTAGTTGTAACATTAGATTTGCTAAACATATATTTTAACTGTAAAATAAAGACTGTAAAAATACTGTAGCTGTCTAGTTTTGTACATTTTTAAAAATATATTTTAACATGAATGGAGCCATTTTATTTACATGCAAACCATTCTGGGTAAATGACGTGGGTAGGTCGATGTGAAGCTGCTAGCGAGCTTTATCCACCTTGAAGGTTAATCTTGGACAATATCTGATGATTGAATCTTTTAAATGAAACCAGAGAGCGTTGACAGAGAGGAGAAGGTAGAAATGACTCAGCCTGTAACTGAAAATATGGATGGAGGACAACAGAGCTGCTTCATGGAAGAAGAACCTCAGCTTAGCCTGTTAGCCTTTGCGCTACCCCCGATGCTAAACTGCCTTATATATATTAGCTCAGCACTAGCGCAACAAACAAGCTAAACTGAGGTCCTCCATCCATATTTTCAGTTACAGGCTGAGTCATTTCTACCTTCTCCTCTCTGCCAACGCTCTCTGGTTTCATCTTAAAGAGTCAGATATTGTCCAAGATTAACCTTCAGGGTGGATATAGCTCGCTAGCAGCCTGACACAGAGGACCTATCCACGTCATTTACCCAGAATGCTTTGCATGTAAATAAAATGGCCCCATCCGTGTAATATATTTTTAAACTTTTAGTTAAAAATTTATAAAAACTAAACAGCCTACAGTATTCTTACAGTCTTTATTATACAGTTAAAATATATGTTTATTAAATAAAGCCTAATGTTACAAATAATTGGGGTTCCCTTTAACGTTGTGTCTCCTGTGGGTCGTATACAGTCACAAAAATAAAAATCTAAATCATATTCATCTCTCTCTAATCCTGCTCTGGTTTTTCCTTGGTCAAATGCTTTTAATTTAAATGTAAACATCTGTGTTACATACCTAGTTTACATTTATTCAGAAGTAGAGCAGTCGCGCACTGCTACACCCCCACCCCCCCAACCGTCTCCCCCATCCCGACCGTCGCAAGTGTCAGATGCGATTCTGAAGAGATGCCTTTCAAAACGTCTCCAAACTTCAATTAATGCATAATTTAAGTTGTTAGTTTGAGATCATTGTCAACATCTGTGTTACATACCTAGTTTACATTTATTCAGAAGTAGAGCAGGCTACACCCCCACCCCCCCAACCGTCTCCCCCATCCCGACCGTCGCAAGTGTCAGATGCGATTCTGAAAAAAAGCATTTTAAAATGTCTCCAAATTATTATAACATATAATTCTAATTCAAACAGAATAGCCAATTGTCAACATAATTATGGAGTGTGATTTATTTTCAACTCAAAATATCTTCAAACTAATGAAATATAAAGTTATTAGCGAAGAAAATCCGTCCGGATAGCAGCAGACTGACTGCTCGTAAAATATACGACAGGTCTGGACCACTCGTGAATTTTGTTTGTATCTGAAGACAATCTTACAATACGAGAAAATTGGTGAATGCYACAAATTCTCCTAAATCACTCGTACGCACAATTTAAGAACTGTTAAATTGTGCGTACRAGTGATTTAGGAGAATTTGTGGCATTCACCAATGTTTTCGTATTCTAAGA